CTTGGCATCACGATTGCAGGAGATGATGATGCCCTGCTCTGTGCCCACCAGGAACTTGGTGGGCTGGGGGTGGGAGCAGGAGGGTGCAGCTGTCAGCAGGATGGAGACCCCACGGTTGGGGGGCAGCAGGGGATCCTGCTGCAGGCAGAACCCTGGGACCCACCATCAAGGTGGGGTTTAGGGACCGAAACCCCTGGGCTGGGCTCCCCCTCGTGCCCAGGTTGGAGTGTGGGTGGTGGGCACAGGGACACTGACCAGGACGGGTGCAAAGTCCAGGGAGCTGGCACCCAGAGCGTCCTTCAGCTGATCTTGCCGGCTGATGTCCAAGACCAGTCTCTCGCTGGGCTGTGACATCTTGCGGATGTCCCACCACAGCACCTGCGGGGACAAGGTGTGGCAGGGGCTCTGGGGCTGCTCCCAGCACGGTCAGAGGTGCTGGCAGTCCTGCAGCTGCCCCGTGCCAGCCTGGGAGAGCGGGATCTTGTGCTGCTGAGGGGCAGGGCAGGCACAGGAAGCTCTTCAGGAGCCCTGTGGAGCCCCTTGCCCTGCTGCAGCCCCTCACCTGTCCGTCAGTGGAGCCTGAGAAGCACTCGGTGCCTGTTCGGGAGGGCAGCCAGTACGCTCCATACACGGGGTCCCTGTGGCTGAACTCCACAGGGGTCATCTCCATGGGCAGCCCCCCTTTCCTGGTGTCCCAATACACTGGGGAGGAAAAGAAAAACCCTCCCCAGCTCCTTTCCTTGTCATGATTCCCCCACTGTCCAAGCTGGAACAGGGAGCAAACCTCACCCAGTGCTCCCCAGAGATCATCCACAGAGGTGGGAGAGGTGGGAGCACAGCACTCATCCTGCTCATCCCCTGGATCCATCCATCCATCCATGGATTTCATCCATCCATCCATCCATCCATCCATCCATCCATCCTTGACACGATGTCCTCCCCTCCCTGGGTGCCCGCTCAGGTGGGCACACCCCTGCCCACAGGTAAATGCCAGGGCTCCTCCTGCTCTCCCAGAGGCAGCACAGGTCCTGGCAGAGCCGCAGGGCTGGAGCCAGCCTGGAGCAGAGTTCACCCCTCACCTATCTGCCCGTTGTAGCAGCCTCCCAGCATGTGATACCAGTCCTTGGAATTGTACTCCAGGGTCACCACAGGGGACGAGGGCTTGAGGGTGAGCTCTGGGGTGTAGGGTTTTTCTACAAGGAGGGATGAGTGAAAAGCAAAGGGTGAAGCCCCCAAAAGCAGCCCCCAACCCCTCCTGCTGCCCCCACCCCGTTCCCTGACACAGCTGTGCAGGAGGAGGTGCCCATGTCACCAGGAGCTGGCCTGGGACAGACCCTCAATACACAAATCTGCATTCCCACCCTTCTTTTTGTCCTTTTCTCTCCAAAACACACCAGGTGTGAGGCAGGCTTGCACAAGTCTCACCCTGGGCTCCTGCTGCCTCTTTCTTCCTTCGTTACCAGCTGAACCTCACCAACAGCAGCCCCTCATGTGAGGCTCTGCTGCCTGGCAGGCTGGGGAGCCATGGAGGGAATTTCAGTGCTCATTTCCCCCCTCCCAGCTCCCATTTCTCCTGGTTCTGCACTGAGGCTCCCCCAGTGACCCTCTCTAGGGTGCTGCCAGCCCCATCCCTCTCTCTGAGACACAAAGTGCTCCATCTCCTGTCACCTGGTGGGTTTGGCCTTGCTGCCAGCCCCATCCTGCTCTCTCAGACACAAAGTGCTCCATCCCCTGTCCCCTGGTGGGTTTGGCCTGGCCCTTACCCACATCCCAGACGTAGGAATCAGAGTTCAGGTTCCTGCTCTCCTGGAAGTCCAGGCTGCAATAAGCCACGGCCAGGGCCCTGCTGCCGTCGGGGTGCCAGGAGAGGTGTGTGCACATCCTCCTGGGGTTGTTGGGGTCCCTTTGGGGTGACACATCAGCCAAAATGGGTCAGTTTGCAAATGCCTGGGATGAGCATCTCCCACAGGGAACTGTGGGAACCACAAGGAAACCAATCTGCAGCCCTCAAGCCTTGAGTGCAGGAAATGATTCTCCTGAGGGGTTGGGCAGGGGGAGAAGGGTTGATGATTTCATCCTCTTTCCAGTCATACCTTTCTAAAAATCCAATTATCTTACTGGAGCTGACTCCTAAACACCCCTGATGTGGAAATTAACCTTTGAGGCACCAAGAACAAGGAGGAAAATCCAAAAGCACCATCAGGAGATGCTCAGAGCTGGGTCTGACCCTGCTTCCCTCCCCCAAATCCCCTGGGCAGGCAGGGAGTGGTGGGGCAGGGAGGGTTCAGGTTTGTGGGGCTCTCCACTCACAAACTGCACCAGAAGCACCCCAAACCCACTGGAATTGAACTCCTAATGTTCTCCCATTTTCTGTGAAGGTGGTTTGACCCCACTGAGGCTCTGGGGAGTCCCCCCAGCTGTGCTACCTGATGACACAGATGATTTTGGCTGAGGGATGCTCCTCATCCTCGTCTTCCTCCTCTTCCTCCTCAAAATATTCCTCGTAGATGTCGATGGTGTTGTTCTGCTTGATGTAGTGCTCCACCACCTGCAGGGACAGCAGGGCTGTGGCTCTGGGGGGCTCTGGGGGGCCCTGGGGGGCTCAGGGGGTCTGGGGGGAGCAGGGCAGGCTCTTACAAAGCTGAGGCGCTGGATAGTCTTGGTGTAGACCTCTTCCCTCTCCACCTCCTCCCGGTAGCGCGTGGTCAGCTCCTGGTTCTTGGGGTCCACGTGCTTGGGCCAGCCGCCCTCCACGTGGTTGATACCCCGGATGGTCACCTGTGACCGCTCCGTGTTCACCTGGACATGGGGACATGGAGGGGACACAGGCCCTGAGCCCAAAAGGTGCCTGTCACACTATCCATCCATCATCATCCATCCATCCATCCATCCATCCATGGATTCCATTCATCCATCATCCATCCATCCATCCATCCATCCCTCCTGAGATGTCCCCTATTCCCTGTGAGGGGGTGTCCCTGTACCTCATGCCCGGCCAGGACAGGACCCTCCTGCACCGCGAAGTCCACGGGGTCCTGGGGGATGAAGTCTTCGGCCAGGGCAGGGTCGGGTGGGATGTTCACGGTGACCTCGGCCAGGAGGTCTGAGAAGACGCAGGGGCGGCCGAACTCGCTGCGCTTCCGCGAGTACTCGTACTTGATCTCCATGGTGGGAGGGGATGGAAAGGATGGCGAGACCAGGGACGGAGGGCGGGCCCTCCAAGGGAACCCCTAAAAGGACGGGGGGCCTCAGGGATGGAGAGCTCCAATGGGGATGGAGGGCCTTGGGGAAGCCCAAAAGGAAACAGAGGCCTCAGGGTGGAGGAGAGAGTTCCAAAGGAGAGCAGGAGGTGCTGAGAGGATCCCAAAAGGGAGTGGAGGCTCTGAGAGGATCCCAAAAGGGAGTGGGGTTCTCAGGGATGGAGAGCGGGATCTCGGGGAGCTCCAAAAGGAGAGAGGGTTTCAGGGATGAAGAAAAGGAAAAAAGGAATGGGAGCCTCAAGGAGACCCAAATGGGAACAGAGAGCCTGGAGAGGGAGGATGCTGAAAGAGACGGGGAACCCCAAATAGAAATGGGGTCTCTGATGGAGGACTCCAAAAGGGAGAGGGGACCCTCCAGAGCCCCAGAAGACTGTGTAGGCCTTGGGAATGTCCCAAAAGGGAACAAGAAGCTCAGGGAGTCCCAGACGATCCCAAAGGGAACAGGAACCTCGGCAAAGCCCAAACGGGAGCAGGGATCCCATGCAGGGAGGACCTTGAGATGGGCTCAAAGGGCAGCGGGAGCCTCAGGGAGCCCCAGAGCGGAGCTGAGCCACAGGCACGGAGTGAGGAAGCGCCCAGGGTGAGCACGGAGCCCGCGGAGGCCCCGGGACCCCGGTGCGGCCTGGTCCCGTCCCGCTCCCGGGGAAGCCTGACCAGGGACGCGTTGCCGTTGCCAGGCAACAGCCTGAACCCGTCACGTGACACCGTCACGTGATGCTGTCCTCACTATAATGGCGTCATCATCACGTGACCGCCGCCATGTTGGGAAGGTCAACTCAAAACTGCCCCAAACACTGAATTAACCACCCAAAAAATGATTATCCCCCCAAAAAAACCCTCACGAGAGCCAGTAATTTAGTCCAAGTGTTTATTATCTTTCCTCCCAAAAGGGCACAAACAAATCCAGCCGGACTCCAGCCCCCAGCCGGAGCCCTTCGGTTAGTTCACATGTGGTTACAACAGCTCTTCTACCAGTACCGTTACATGGAAACGTTAAAAGCCAAAGAAATAAAAAAATCCCTCGGGATATTCCCCAAGGGGAGGGATGCTAGTCACGGGGAACATGGGGAGGGGAGTCAGGGATGTCCTGGCCCTGGGGCGGGCACACACCACTGCCCTGCCTGCACCGTTTGGGGTCTGGGTGGATGGGGCAGGGGGTCCATCCCTGCTCCAGGGGGAAGGGGCCTTTTCTGGGGTCCCTGTGCCAAAGGGCAGCCCAAAGGGGCAGGTTCAGCTCTCTCAGCTCCCCACCCTGGAAATGCTGGCTGAGGCTTCAGGGGTGGCAGGTCCATGTTGTCCCTCCCCAGCGATGCCCCAGCAGCTCCTGTCCCTCTCCCTCTCCCAGGGGATGTGTGACCACTCCAGGGCTGCAGGAGGAAGGGAGCCTGCCCCATCCCACACCCGCCTTGGGGGACCAAAAAGAGCCTAAACCCACCCCAAACCCCAGTGCAGTGACCCCGCTCTGCAACAGAGCCAGCACCTCCCAAAACCCGGGGGCAAAGCGACGGAAAACCAGCAGGGCCAAAACATCCCAAATCCCTCATCCTGGGAATGCCAGGGCCAAAACATCCCAAATCCCTCATCCTGGGAAATGCCAGGGCCAAAACATCCCAAATCCCTCATCCTGGGAATGCCAGGGCCAAAACATCTCAAATCCCTCATCCTGGGAAATGCCAGGGCCAAAACATCCCAAATCCCTCATCCTGGGAATGCCAGGGGGGCTGGAAAGGGCTGGGGAAGGGTTTGGGATCACTAGTGGTTGGTGCTGCATTGCTAGGGGAGCCCCAGGGCAGCATGGTGCGGGGTTTGTGCTCCAGAACGTTCCACAGGGACAGGAGGAGCCCCCACAGCCCCTCTGCGCTCCCGGGAGCCCCTAAGGCAGCAGGTGTGGGGCTGTGAGGGCAGGGGGTGCTGGGGGGCTCCAGGTTTGGCCCCCAGCCCTGCCGTGGCTCCTACCCCGTGCTCTGCTGTCCCTCAGGCTCTTTGGTGTCCCCTCCTAGGCCGGGAAGTCGCCGCGGTGCCGCACGTGCTCATCGGTGACCGCCAGGTACGTGGCCCTCATGCTCGGGGAGTACTGGGGAGGAACATGGGGGTCAGCACCCCAAAACGGGGGTCAGCACCCCAAAACGCCCCACGCTGCCCCCAGGGGTGTTCCTGTGGGGGTTCATCCCAAATTCATCTGCCAGGGGGCATGGAAAGGGTCAGACCCTGCTCTCAGACCCCTGAGGGCTGGGGGAGACAAGAGCCCCCTCCTCAAGCTAAATCCAGTTCTGCTTTGTCCCTTCCCAGGTTCATCCTCCACCTTCCCACCTTCCCAAATTCATCCCAAATCTGCCCTGGGGGTGTGTCTGTGGGATGAAGCCTCCAGCCCATCCCCAGCATCACATTTCTGCAGGATTTCCCAGCAGGGAGGATCACCCCGGGCAGGCATTAAAGCAGATTATTCCGAGTTTGTTATTCTGGACTCGGAAAGTCTTTCCTCAGGGATCTGAATCCTGGGTGAATTAAACTGTTCAGGGCTGGGAGAAGAGCTCCAATTAATCCCCCCACTCGTGTCCCCCCCTGGGAGGAAGCTCTGCCAGCTGCCAGGTCTGTGAGATGGGATCCAAGCTTCCACCTGATGGAAAAAATCCTCCTTGGAGGGGAGGGACAGTATTGCTGCCACAGCAGCATTCCTGGGGCCACATCCTGGCTGCAGGGATGGACACAGGGACCAGCATCCCAACAGGTGGGAGCTGAAAATCCTCCTGGCCCTTTGTCCTCCCTCCCTGAGCTCTCTGCACCCCAAAAACCAAACAGGATAGAGGGAGGTGTGGAAGGCTGAGGAGGAGGAGGGTAGAACCTGGCTGCTGCCCCTGGGGTAAGGAGGGAGAAGGAAGTGGCTGAACTTACTCTTGATGGGCAACTTAGCTCCAAAATAATGGATGCAAAAAATTAAAAGAAATCACAAAATAAAAAGAAAAAAAAAGGAAAAAAAAAAAAAGAAAGGAAAAAAAAAAGACAAGGAATAAAAAATGAAGCAGCAATACCAGGCAGGGCAGGATTAACGAGCAGGGAAATGGGAATGTGAAGGGATTGTGAGGAGCATCCTCTGAGAGCCAGGATGGAGAGGCAGCACAGGGAAGGGAGGGAGGGGACGCTCATTTTGGTGTCCCCCACCGTGTGGCCGTGCCCCCTCCCCATGGGTGGCCGGGATTTGGGTCAGAGCCGGGCAGGAGCCACCAGGACCCCCCATCCCTGTCCCACCCCGCAGACCCACAGTGACCCCCAGGGTGTCACAAGGCTTTGTCCCCGGCCCCCCATCGTACCGTGGGGGGAGGAGAGCCCCTCCCGATGAGGGGCACGTTCTCATAGCGGGGGTTCCCTCCGAAGAGCACGGCCTGGTTCCTGGGGGCACAGAGGGACCCCGTCACCCCCTGCCCATCACGGGGCCACGGCCACGGCACGGGGGGCTCGGGGGGCTCACATGTACTCGGACACGGGGGCGTTGGACACGGTCTGTGCCGCCGGGGGCTGCAGGCTGCTCTGGCTGCCCAGGCTGCTGCTGTAGCTGCAGAAGCTGCGCAGCTGCCCCCGCGGCGGGCGGTGCGTGGCCATGCGCCGCGCCGCGGGGTTGAACGGGTCCTCCTCGTCCATGTCATCGTAGTCCCGCTCCCTGCGGGGACACAGCAGTGCTGGCATCACACCCCGTGGGACAAAGAGGGGCTCTGTTGCAGTGTGTTTTTATCCTCTGTAATACTTTGAAGAAGTTTTGGTTTGTATCCCCGTATTTTCCCAAATGGTTCATCCTAGAATGTACCCCACTCCCTTTACCTGTGTAATCCCTCTCCCTGGATGAGATCATCCCCAAACCCCCACCCTGGCTCTCTGTCAATCACTCAGCATCCCATCCCCTCCATCTAGAAGCTTCGCTCCAGGATGTGGAGTGATCAGCCAGAGGCCAGGGCTCAGCCCCCCAAGCCCTGCCCCATAACACTGTCCTAAATGTCCGTCCCACAGTCCCCATCCCTCAGGGTCACTCATTGGTCAGTAAATGTCCTCTACTTTGGGTTTCCACCTCCCTTTAAGTGCAACCTTGGCACATCTCCCAGGGCTCTCACACCCCTGAGGTGTGGGGGCTCCTTTGGGACTCCTGGAATAAAACCTTGGATTAACCCCTGCTAAGAGTTGGCCCTTTATTTTCTACCTGCTGCAAAGGTGACCAGCCCGGGTGCCCTCAGTACCCTTGGGGCACAGGACAGCGTCTCCCCATTGTTGGCCATGTTGGGGTTGTCCCAGTGTCTGGGACTTGGGTTCCTGAGAGGCTCCCAAGGGACAGGGACAGGCTCTCTGCGCCCAGGGGGAGGGCAGGGGGCACAGGGGGCACACACACCTCCCAGCCAGCTGCTGCCAGGCTCGTGGGGCCGCGCAGATCACCGTGGAGAAGGCGGCGGCCGCCAGCAGGGAGAAGAGCCCCAGGTAGAGCAGCCCCTCCACGCCGTCGTAGCAGATGCCAATGAGGCCATCCAGGTAGTCCTGGTGGGACACAGGCAGGGCAGCGCTGGTGGCACCCCAGGGGACCCCAGCCATGCTCCCCTGTCACCCCCTCTCACCTTGTGCAGCCCCCGGCAGTCCAGCAGCGCTGTCAGCTGGTGCAGGCTGGTCTCTGAGGAGTTGAGGAGCTGCTGCACCCCCAGGAGGTCTTTCTGTGATAAAAGGGGGGGTCAGGCAGCTCTGGGGAGCAGGGGGAGGGATGGGGATCCCTGCTGCCCGCTCCTGTACCTCAGCTGTGGGGAAGAGGGGCAGCGCATACTGGATGAGCCCCTGGATCTGGATCTGCATGGTGGTCAGCGAGCGCTGGAACACGGTGAGGGCCTGCACGGGGATGTGGGGCACAGTCACAGACCCCCCCAGCCCCAGGCAGCACCAAAGGGGGTGCCCACCCCCCCTGTACCTGCTGGAAGGGGCTGCTCAGGCTCTGGTCACAGTACAGGTAATAATGAACCACCTCTGCAGAGAGAAGGGGAACATCAGCAGGAGCATCCCGGGGCTCAGGGAGCCATGGGGGGAGAGTGGCAGACCCCCAGGTGGGTTTGGGGGTCCTGCCCATGCCTGCCTCCACCTCACAGCCAGCCCTGACCTGCGCTGATCTCATCATCTGTCTGGTTCAGGATGAACTTGTCCGGGGCCACACAGAAGTCGCTGGTGCCCTGTGGGGACAGAGGGATGTCACCAATGCCCACAGTGCTCATCACAGCCCCCAGCAGCCCTTTCCTCCCTCCTCTCCTGCCCCAAAGAATGTCAGTGATGCCCACAGTGCCCAGCACAGCCCTGGGCAGCCCTTCCCTCCCTCCCTCCCTCCCTCCCTCCCCTCCTGCCCCACTCACCACCGCAGCCGCCGTGTCCACGGCCATGGAGGCCCAGCTGAGGACCAGCATGAGCAGCCCACAGCACAGCATCCTGCAGGGAGAGCAGAGTGGGCAGCATGGCTGGGGGTCCCCGTGAGCCCCCCGAGGCCGTCCCCAGGTACTCACAGGAGCAGGAGGCAGCGGGAGTGCTTGGCCAGCCCCAGGCAGGCCAGCAGGCAGACGGTGAGGACGAGGATGAAGAAGAGCAGGTAAGCCAACCACCTGGGGGCAGAGGAAGGCTGTGTCACACAGGGGCACCTCCCCAGCCCTGCTGGCGCATCCCAGGGTGCTGGGGCTCACCTGTAGTACTCCACATAGGCCACCTGTCCCGACAGCTCGGTGAGGTCAGCGCTGACGCCCCGCCAGGCTGGCAGCCCCTGGAGCTGCAGGACAATGCCGCCAGCCAGCTGCTGCGCGAACTTGAGGGTCTGCACGTAATCCCCCCGCGAGGCCAGCAGCTCGTTCAGCCGTGCCAGGTGCTGCTCCAGCGCTCCCTGCATCTGCAGCGTGGTGCTGGCAACCTGAGGGCACAGGGATGGTCAGTCTGGGATGGTCAGTGCCCTAGATGGTCAGTGCCCAGGATGGTCAGTGCCCTGGGATGGTCATTCCCCCAGGACAGTCAGTATCTCAGGATGGTCAGTGCCCTGGGATGGTCAGTCCCCCAGGATGGTCAGTGCCCTGGGAATGGTCAGTCCCTGGGATGCTCAGTCCCCCAGGATGGTCAGTGCCCTGGGAATGGTCAGTCCCTGGGATGCTCAGTCCCCCAGGACAGTCAGTATCTCAGGATGGTCAGTCCCCCAGGATGGTCAGTGCCCTGGGAATGGTCAGTCCCTGGGATGGTCATTGCCCCGGGATGTTCAGCACCCACCAGCCTGGCAGAGCGCTGTGCCCCATCCCTGCAATGCTTTCCCCAGCAGATCAGCTCCCCCCACCCCTCAGTGCCCTCAGAGCAGCCCTGCCATGGCCCCGACCCAGCCCTGGCAGGGCACAAAGGTCCCATTCTGCGGGGTGACATCACCCTCTGTGCCCGGCCAGCACAGCCACGCCGGGGCTCGGCCGGACGTCCCTCCTGGGGCTCCAACCAAACCCACAGCAGGGACTGAGGCACCCGGGGGCCCTACCAGGGAGTCGATGCCAGTCAGGGTCTGGTTGGCATGGTCCAGGGCATAGAGCAGCTGGAAAACGCCGTCGTTGGTCTCGCTGTTCCCGTAGAAGCCGACGCCAACGGCGGCGCTGTGGGCAGAGAGGGGACACTGGTGACAGGGGAGGGACACGCTCACCCTGCCACACCTGCCGGACAGGGGACACCCCCTGCTTTTGGGGGACAGGGCAGAGACAAGGCGGCAGGGACAGCAGCACGGTGGGAACCTGCTCCTGCTGGTGACAGAGGCCTGGGGACAGCCAGAGCTGTGCCTTGGAAGCTCCTCCTGGCAAACCCGAGAGATTGAGGGCGGAGGGGCTGGGCCAAGCAGATTAGGGGAATCTGCCGTGGCTGCGATTAAACCTTCACCTCCAGGGCCTGTGCAGAGCTCCCTGCAGCTGCTGCAGGGCTGGGACAGAGCTGGGATGGAGCTGGGAGCTGGCTCTGAGGACAGAGGTGCCCATGGCCGTGTCCTGGCCGGGCACGTGCCCACAGTGTGCTCACCAAACCCTAGTGCAAAAAGAGGCTGCTGGAGGGGTTCAAAGCCCCCGGGAGCTGCAGAATGGATTCCAGCCATGCTGGGGGAGCTGGCTGAGCTCATTAGTGCCGTTTCCCTGTCTCCCTGTCTCCCTGCTCCATGCGAGGCTCCAGGCAGCCATCTCGCTCCGCCCCGGCACAGCTCCCTTTGTCTGGAGCCAGGGTCGTGGCCAGGCAGCCAAAGGGGCCCGGGGCCCATCCTGCTTCCCCCCAGGCCACCAATGCCGGGGGACACTCGGGGTGGCTGCCCTGGGGGTCCTCCCAGCCACCCCGAACCGAGGGGGGCTTGGGAAGCCCCCAGAGCTGGGTGAAGAAGCGTCCCCTTGTTTAATTGTTGTGGCTGCAATTAAGGTCGGGCACAAGGGAGCTGCCAGCTGGGTCACGCTGCCGCCCGCCATCTGCTCCGGGCTGGGATTAGCGACCGGCCCGGGATTAGCCGGGAATTCTGCACAGCCCTGATGGGGACGGGGACGGGGCCGGCCCGCAGCTGCTCCCTGGGGCTGCCCCGGCAGCTGCGCGGGAGGAGGCAGGGATGGATGGATGGATGGATGGATGGATGGATGGAGCACGTTCATTGCACACATCTAATTAAAGATATTCATAAAGGCTGGAGCGCAGAGTGCCCTCGGTGACAGGGGGACAGCAGCAGGTCCCTGTCCCCGCGCTCACCAGCAGATGAGCCCGGCGGTGACGGCCATCCAGGTGACACAACACGAGTGGGGCCGCTTGCTCTCGGCGTCCTGCTCCCTCTTGCAGCAGCACAGGCAGATCAGGTACACGGTGAGGAAGAGGAGGTTGAGGCCGAGGCACACGGCGGCCAGCAAGCCCAGGACAAGCAGCGACTGGAAGGAGAGCGGGGACAGCGTCAGCCGCCGTGCCCGTGACCCGCTCGCGTGGCCGGGATGCGGCGGCGCTCCGCGCCCCACGGGACTGTCACGTGCGGAAGAGGAAGAAGTGTCCCCGTCCCCGTCCCCGTTCCCAGGCAGGGCCCCGAGCCGGGGGTGCAGCGGGGCTGTCGGGACACCGGGACGGCGGCGCTGCCCCCTCCCCGAGCGGGGTCACGGCGGGCCGTGCCCCGGGATGCCGGGCGGCCCCGGGAGCGCGGGGCGGGGGCAGAGGCAGCGGCGGGGCCGGGAGGGGAGCGGCGGGGCCGGGTGCCGGTGCCGGCCGGCCCGGGCCATGAAAGGCGCTTTGTGCGCCGTGAGATCAGAGCCGGCGCCGGGCAGCGCCGCGGGGGCGGGCGGGGGGCGCGGGGCGAGCGGGACCGGGCGCGGGGGGCGCGAGGAGGGCGCGGGGGGCCCGGGCCGGTACCTGCTGGTAGTCGGGGTCCTGCGGGCGGAAGGTGCTGGGCACGGGCTGCAGGCGGGGGTCGCGGTGCGGGAGCCCGTGCAGCCAGGCCGCCCACCAGGGCGCCAGGTAATCGGCGCGGGCGGGCCCCATGGCGGGCCGGGGTCGCCGCGCTGCCGGGCGGGGGGCGGCGGTGCCGCCACGCCGCGGGCTCTGCCCGCCCGCCCCGCACACGCCCCGGGAGCCACCCCCGGTACCGCCCCCCGGTACCGCCCCGAGCCCTGCGCCCCGCCCTGGGCCGGGACAGAGCGCCGAGACAGCACCGGGACAGAGAGCCGAGACAGCGCCGGGACAGCGCCGAGACAGCAGAGACAGCACCGGGACAGCCCCGCGACACCGCGCCCCGAACCTCGGCTGTGGGGGCACCCACAGCGCTGCCAGAGCCCGCTATGGAGGGCACGATGGTGGCACCGGGTGCCAGCCCCAGGGCCTGTCCCCAGCTGGCACCCCAGGGCAAAGGGGCACCTCCAGGTCCCGTGAGTCCCCACCGGTACCAGAACCAGCCCCAGTGCCCCCAGAGTGGCTCCAGGACCCCCAGAGTGGCTCCAGGACCCCCATAGTGGCTCCCAAGACCCCCAGAAGGGCTCCAAAGACCCCCAGAGTGGCTCCCAGGAACCCCAGAGTGGCTCCCAGGAACCCCAGAGTGGCCCCAGGAACCCCAGAGTGGCTCCAGGGCCAGGAGCAGTGAGTTGTGAAACACCACACGTGACACCAGGAACAGTTTTTTATTTATTTTAACAAACACAGAGACTCCAACAGGTACCCAGCTGCTCCCGGCTCATTTCAGCTCCTTCACGGCCAGACCTGGGGAGAAGAGAGAGGGGAGACATGGACTGGGGGGGCTCAGGCATGGATGGGGGGCCTGGAACCTCCAGCTCCATGGGGACACCAAGCACTGACCCCAGCAAGGCACTGGGGGTGACAAGAGCTCCAGGGACCCATCCAGAGGGGTCTCACAGCCCCCCTCAATCCCAAAAATCCAAAAGGGAATTCCCAGGATACCAGGGGGAGGGACACCAGCTCCAAGGACCCTTCCAGAGGGGTCTCACAGCCCCCCTCAATCCCAAACACCCCACAGGGGATCAATTCCCAGATACCTGGGGGCAGGGACTGCTTCAGCTTCTCTGCCTTCTCCTTGTCGGTGATGACCAGGGTGTAGAGGTACCGGCTGCAGCGCACCTTGAACTTCACATTGTCCTTGTTCTTCTTGATCTTGACGGCTGGGGGGAGGAGGGGACAGCAGGGACACCCCGGTGTCACCCCTGGGGATCCCAGTGCACGCCCTGCCCCGTGCAGAAACCTCCAGCTCCATCCAGAGGGAGGAAAATCTCTGTCAGTGCTCAACTCTCCCTTGTCACAGGATTCCCGAGGGATTCCTGCCACAGCCTGATCCAAACAAGAGGAATTAGAGGGGAAAAAACTCTTCCCGTGTTGCTGAACAGTGAAACAAGGCAGCTCTTTGCCTCAATTATCCTCCATTTGTGGTGGCAACAAAAATCTCCTGTTGAGGGTGATGGATGAATCACCTGTGGTGGCACAGCTCCAACATTCCACATGGCAGCATCCCACAGAGCAGGGAAAGTTTGGGAATTGAACTGCATCATCCCACAGAGCAGGGAAAATTTGGGAATTGAACTGCATCATCCCACAGAGCAGGGAAAATTTGGGAATTGCTTCTGGAGAGCTGCATCATCTCACAGAGCAGGGAAAATTTGGGAATTGTTTTTGGAGAACAGCACCATCCCACAGAGCAGGGAGAAGTTGGGAATTGCTTCCATCCCACAGAGCAGGGGGATGTTTGGGAATTGTTTTTGCAGAACAGCACCATCCCACAGAGCAGGGCATGTTTGGGAATTGTTTCCAGGGTTTGAACCCCCCAGGGCATGCACAGCTGGGAGCAGCGTTCCAGGGACACCCCACAGGAGGGACCAGGCCAGCCCCGACCCCTCGGCATTCCCAGGGCAAGGAGCTCCTCAGAGCCCCCAGGGAACGAGCTGGAGCCTCCCCCAGGCCTGCCTGAGACCCCCACTCACACTTGGCGTCCTTCCGCCGCGCCGTCAGCAGGAAATCCTTGATCTCCTCAATCTTGCGAGGCTGTGGGGCCAAACACAAACTCATGGAATGAAAATCACGGAATGTTCCGCTTGGGAAGACCCCAAAGCTCACCCGTGCCATGGGCAGGGACAGCTCCAGCCTGGGGCTCTCCAGGGATGCCCAGAGCTCATTCCACAGAACCCCCAGCGCGCCGCTCACTCACCCCAGAGACCCCCCAGCCCACCCTCCCTCACTGCAGCCCCCTCCCCTCGCAGCCCCCGGCCCCTCACCATGGTTCCGGCTCGGCTTCGGCAGCTCCAACCTGCGGCACAAACGGACCAAGATGGTGTCAGCTCAGCCCCCCGCCATGGCGCCCCCCGCTCCCCGCCGGCCATCGGGTGTCCCCGTGCTCCCTCCTCCCCCCCAGCCCGCCCCAGGGCCGCCCGGTGCCGCCAGGCCGCGGATGGCGGCGGATCCCCCAGGTCCCCCTCGGGTCCCCCCGGCCGCCATCGCTCACCCGCAACCGCTGAGAACAAACCGGAAATGAGCGCGGCACTTCCGCATCCGGGGCTTTATTGCCTACGGAGCGGGCGGGGGACAAAAAACATCGGATGGCGGTGGTGCCGCGGGAGCTGCGATGAGCGGGCGGGGGCTCAGCCCCGGTGCGAACGGGACCGGCGGCGGCTGCGGAGGGGATTTCGGGCAGCTCCAGCCCCCCGGAGCCGGGCACGGCCGGGAGCTGCCGGGCACGGGGAGCAGGGCGGGCTGCTGGCAGTTTCCCGATCCGCAGAACCCCTCCGGGCATGATCCGTCCGAGGTTCAGCCCCGGGGAGCCCCGGGCGATGCCGGCGCTCGGTAACCCGGGCAGGGCTGTAATGGAGCGGTTCTGCCACAAGAGAGAGCTTCGATCCCGCTGAAAACCCCAAAGCCGGGCAAACCACCCCAAAAGGCCGCGCAGAATCCTTGGGGGTGGGTGGCGAGGAGGAGGAACCCCATCCTGTCACTGTCCCCATCCCCATGGTGTCACTGTCCCCATCCTGTCACCGTCCCCAACCCCATCCTTTCAGTATCCCCATCCTGTCACTGTCCCCATCCCCATGGTGTCACTGTCCCCATCCTGCCACTGTCCCCAACCCCATCCTTTCAGTATCCCCATCCTGTCACTATCCCCATCCCCATGGTGTCACTGTCCCCATCCTATCACTGTCCCCATCCCCATCCTGTCACAGTCCCCATCCCTGTCCTATCCCCATCCCCATGGTGTCACTGTCCCCATTCCCGTCCTCATCCTTTCTCTGTCCCCATCCTGTCACTGTCTCCATCCCCATCATGTCCCCGTCCTGGCCCCGTCCCGGCCTTGCCGGGCCCTGAGTGGGTTTTGGGGCGGTTTTTGGGGTGCCGAGATGTTCCCAATGGGTTCTGGATGTGGTCACACCCCACCAGTGCTCCCAGTATCACCCCAAGCCCATTTACTGGGGTGACACCCCCCCCAGGGCTCCCCCAGGAGAGGATTTTGGGGTGGCACCCTTCCCCCTCTGCCCCAAACGAGCTTTTTAATTGTTTGATTTACTCCCCTCCCCTCCGACGGGCTGCTCTACTCCGCTGCCTTTTAATTGCTCCCGAAGCCGAGCGCTTTTTCATGTTTCAGAAATGCTGAATGCTGTAATTAAAGCCCCGGCAGCGTAAATCAGCGGCGCGGGAGGACGACAGCCCCGAATTAAAGCTTTGGGCATGACAATAAAACCAAAGTGCGGCGAAAAGGGCCCGGTTTGGCACCAGCGCGGGGTGCTGATGCTGAGGGGGCTGAGGCACCCCAAAATCCCCGGGTTTTATGGGATTATGGAAAGATTTGGGTTGGGAGGGACCTCAAGGCTCTCCCTGCCTCATTGCTGGTGGTGTGCCGGGGTTGGATGGTTTGGAGCAGCCTGGAATGGTGGAAGGGATGGAATGGGATGGGTTTGGGGTCTCTTCCCACCCAAACCATTCCATTTTTGGGTCATTAATGAAGATGTGAAGGAACCCCCTGAGGGTCACCACTGGTCCCTGAGGGCCACCAGCATGCAGAGCCATTGTCCCTCTGGAGGGGAGGGGACATTCCCAGCCGCTCCTTCTCCATCGCCAATGTCCCCGTTTGTGTCCCAAAATGCAGCTTGGCCCCATTGAGGGGCAGGGGAAGGGGCTGGTGACTGTCACCCCCTGCCCTGCACCCCTGGGGCAGCGTCATTGCCACCCTCCCCAGGGAAAGGCAGCACTTCAACTTTATTAATTATAAATAAATTTTATATATAATAATAATTATTATTATTATTATTATATGTTATATATAAATGCATCTACTATATTAAAATATTATAAATATATATAATTATGTATGTATTATAGTATATTATATGAAATATGCATGATACATGCATATTATAAATATATAAATAATTATGTATTATAACTGTTATATATAATATAAAATATATCTAAATGTATAAATAATTAATTGTATATTGTCATTATATATATTATATAAAAATATGTATTATGCATAATATATAATATTATATTAATATTATATTAATATACATAATTATTATTAATATTATATATTAATAATATATAATATATAATATATAATAAATATATCAATAATTATATATGTGTTGTGATTATGATATATTATATATAAATATGTAATTTATATCTATATGTCAATATATAAATAATTAGTTATATATTATAATTACATAATTATAAAAATATATTATATAATTATAACAAATATATAAAATTATATATTATTATATAAGTATAATATATTATATATCAATATTATAAATATATAATTAGTTATAGTTATATATAATTACATAAATAATTATATAAATATTATAAATAATAATATTAATTAATATTTAAAGCCGAGTGGGCGCCTAAATCAACAAAAATAATTCATGAGAGTCGTTAGCTCCTCCAAGTCAGGCTCTTTTTACGACCGACTTTAAATTAAAAAAAAAATTAAAAAATTAAAACCAGCCAGCCCCAAAGCCCAGCACGTTCGGGATCCGCAGCTTTTC